TGCTGCTGCTGCTGCTGCTGCTGCAGGTGGTGGACCTGTGTTTGCGGCTGTTTTCGTTTTGGGTTTCCAGTGGGTTCCAGCAGCGGCGGCTCTGAGTGGGTTTCATCGTTTCTGTTGTTTGTTTGCATTTTTTCTGTTTGTAGCATTTCTTGTTCATTTGTTTCATCTGCATGCATTTCTTCCTCTGCCGGGTCACCTGTTCCTGCCCGGTGGACCATCCCGAGTGGTCCACTGGTCTCCTCCTCTGCGTGAGCCGCAGTCGCAGCTCCCCTCCTCGCGTTTTCTTGCAGCTGCTTGTCGTGAGTCTTGAGGGTCTTCTCAGTCAAAGGCAAACGAAGCCCAACCGTCTCGCTGCTTTTTGTTGTTGCTAGGCTCACGCGCCTCCACTGCGATAGTTTAGGGGCGGGGCCCTCTGTTGGTTGTTGCTGAGCAATCGAGCCGCCGCTTCCTGTTGGTGTAAAGGGGAGATAAATGCAAATATAAAAGTTTTTTGTTGTTTTTGTTTTTATTTTTATTTGTTTTTTGCTTTTTTTTGGTGGGTTTTCTCTATAAGGAGAGCTAAAACCGGCTCACCTGCAACGCCGCTGTTCGTGCCTCGGACGCGTTGCCGCACGGGGGAGAAGACCCGCGTTCTGTTGTCTATAATAGAAATAAAATTCAAATTCAAATAAATATTAAATTAAAATATTTATTTATTTATTTATTTATTTATATATTTATGTTTCCACTTTTGAGGCGGATCGCACCTGCTTTCTCTTCTTGCGTGTAGCTGCGTCTCGCTTCTTCGGCGTTCGGCGGCAGCTCTGAGCCGCCACCGTCCTCTGGTATGTTCTGCGGAGATTTTGATTGTAAATTAAATAAAAAATAAATTAAATATTTAAATTAATTATTTAATAATAATAATTAATTTATTAATTTTCTTTTTCCCCCGTTTCAGTGGCGACTCATCGTCAATGAGCGATGAAGATATTGAATTAATTTATACGTGAAACGCATTTCTAGTAAATATTTAATTATAAAAATAAATTAAACATTTAAATTAATTAATTTAATTATTATTATTATTAATTAATAATTACATTTATTTCGTTTTCTAATTAATAATTAATTAATTAATTATTCATCATCATCTCACCTTGGTTGAGGCGAACATAATAAGCTGCTGCTGCGACGTGCTGCTGCCGTTTGTGTTTTCTTTTTGGTTTTGTTTTCTTTTTAATTCGTTTCTGCTGCTGTACTGCAGCAGACGAGAAGGCTTCAGCAGCTCTTCGGCTTTCGCAGCATCTAGCGGTTCTTTGAGCTCATCATAAACCCCCTCAAGAAAGGCAGCGTCGTACTCCTCCATTTGCTGTATAAAGAGAATAAAAAAAAACAGAAATAAGTGCAAATAAGTGACAATAATTTTTACTAGGGTTTAGGGTTTAGGGTTTAGGGTTTAGCGTTGTCTAAAACCCCAAGATAAACCCTAAATTCTATATATTTGGCTTACGTCTAGCTGGTGAGCCGCCACCAAACGACCCCTTAAAGCCGCTGCTTCTTTCTCGCTGCGGAATGAGAGAACGGCTGTCTCGGCGCCCTCAAAGAAAGCCTCTGGCTCCTGCAGCAGAGCCCCAGGGTCTGCTCCTGTGAATATATAGAAATAAATAAACAACAATATAATATAATTACATTCGTTAGCGTGTATACATTCATATATAATAAGTAATGTAGTTATACTAGCAATATAATGTATAATAATTAATAAAGAAAGAAAAAATATATATTTTATTATATATTTATACATACCCTCTGATGGCAGCTGAAGATAAACAAATTTGAGTTTTTTGCCTTCGCACTCGATGCGTGTAATTGCGTAGAGAGGAATTGTGTGTATATGGGGTGTCTGTGTTTATATATAAATTAAATTATTTTTTTTTGTTGATAGACAAATAAAAATAAAAAAAAAATAATATTAACTTACATCGCTAGGCCCCCATATAAACAGGGCGAGGCCGTCACATACAACGCGTTCTTTCGGCTGTGGATTCTGCACGAGTTTGTTGTTGGTGTGTATGTTGTTTTGTTTAAAATAATTATATATATTTTATTTTTATATAAATATTTTATTATATATTTTTTATATTATTTAATACATTACGCCTAATAAACCACTCTATAATATTTTATATTCACAGCTTAATATATATAAATTTTAATAAACTTTTTCTTGTTTTCTATTGCTGTTGTTTGCGGCGCTTACTAGTATATG